CTGGCTCTGACTTCTCGGCAAAGCTTTATTTCCTTTCTCAGCTTTTCCCAGGGAGTCCTGCAGGTGAAGATGGGGAAGGACCTTGGGCACTGGACCAGCTGTTAGTAATAAAGTACTGCTTCATTTTCTATTTGATTCTAGTGCACCAGTGTGTGGCTTACCAGTGGGGTCCCCGTGACCCACACTGACTCACAGAGGTGACAGTGGAGAATGCACATCCTTGTTTCGGAGTGCCTGGGTTCAAAGCCATGCCCAACTGCTTGTTGACTTTGGACCAATCACCATACCTCCATTTCCTCACCTGGAAGATGGGGAAACCAGCAGTACCTACTCATAGGGCTGTCCTGGGGACTAAGGGAGGAATCCTGAGCACAATGCCTGTCATGGAGAAGCACCCACACCAATTAGGCTTCCCCGGTAGGGTGTTGGAAAGAAAAATCTAGGATCAGAGGTACCTGTCTTGCTTCTGGCTCTGTCTCTCACAGCTGGAAGTGAGCCTGACACATGGTAGGTGCTTAAGGAATGCTTATTATGTAGGTTATGATTGTTGTTATTGTTAATAATGGGTAGAAAATGCTTACTAATGCTTTTAAAATGAACGAATGGATGTATGAATGCCCCTCCAAAGCAAGAGGGACACATTCACTGTGTATAGTACACACACTCACTGAAAGACACAGAGAAGTATATTTTAATAAAACCAAATATATGGACACAGACCAGGGAGGCCTGTGCTTTGCACTATCTGAAATAACCAAGTTTTCTAGATTTGAACGGCAATGGCATTTCAGAACAGGCATGTGATGGGAAATATCGTCTGTTCATCTCATTCCTGTCCCAAATGCTCTTCCTGGGTTTCTGTGCACGATGAATTAGATATTGTCTATGACAGTAGTGGTGAACCTACAACACGCATGTTATTATGGGTTTTTTTTTAAGACAAAGGATGTTAATGTATGAGTTGTTCTTTTTTCTAAATGAAAACCTCAGTATTGAGGTTTAATTGCAGTGCTGGCACTTTTAAATAAGTGGGTTTTAGGTTGTATTTTGTGCACTCATCTTTTTTTTTTTTTTTTTTTTTGTCTTTTGTGAGACCGGGTCTCATTATGCAGTTCAGGCTGAACTTGAGCTCACTTTGTAGCCCAGGCTGGCCTTGAACTCGCAGTGATCCTCCTGCCTCAGCCTCCCAAGTGCTGGGATTACAGGTGTGCGATTACAGGAATCCTGAGCACAATGCCTGTCATGCAGAAGCACCCACACCAATTAGGCTTCCCCGGTAGGGTGTTGGAAAGAAAAGTGCCCGGCTTGGGCAGTTGTCTCTAAAAGGGTCACCTTCACTGGTCTACGACTCAACGAGCTCCCGTCTCACAGGTGTGAGCCAGTGTGACTCCTGGAGAATGTTCTCAGGTACTCGCCTTGTGTGGTTCCAGTCCCAGCTCTGTCCCTTGCTTGCTGAGCCCCCTGAGTATGTCCCTCTCTCTGCAGCTTGCATGAAAGAGTTGGATCAGATCAGTGGTTGTCAAACTCTTTGAGTAGAGAAACACTTTATTTCAGTGAAAATGCCATGTGGGAGCTGAGGGTGTAAAGCAGATGAAAAGGGAGATTATGGGGGAGGACGGGCAAACGCCGTCTGTGCACTCAGTCCCAGGGGGCTATGGGAACCCAAGCACCCAGAGACTGGTGAAGGGGGCCTTCAGCATTATTCACGATCCTGAGGTCCTCCAACACAAGCAGGCCTGTCTTGGACAATACAAAGACGTTTTCTTGATTTTTAAGGTTTTTTTTTTTTTTTAAGTAAACTTAATTTTAGAATAGTTTTAGATGTGCAGAAGAAGTGTGAGGTAGTATGGACTGTGCATATAACCCACGCCCACTTTCCCTATCACTAACATCTAACCTTAGCTATCTTGTGCGTGTGTGTGTGTATATATATATTTTCTTCCTTCCTTCCTTTCTTTCTTTCTTTCTTTCTTTCTTTCTTTCTTTCTTTCTTTCTTTCTTTTCTCCTTTCCCTCACCCCAGTTTCCTTTTGAGTAGTTTCTTTCCCTTTCACAATATCTATTGTATCTTTCAGATTTTATTTACTTTTTCAGGTTCTTACTTTGGGGGGCACAATATGATGTTTACACATGTGAGTCTGATTTATTTCACTTATGAGTATGGTCTCTAGTTGCATCTATTTACCTATAACAGCCTCAAGTTTATCTTTCTTTAGAGCTGAGTAATATTCCATTGTATAAAAATACCACACCTTTTTTATCCATTCCTCAGTTGATGGGCATTTGGGTTGTTGCCAAGATTTAGCTATGACAAATTGTGCTGCTATAAACATGGGTGCACATATATCTCTGTGGTATGATATTTTCAGTTCTTCTGAAAAAATACCCAGAAGGAGTATAGCTGAATTGAATGGGACCTCTAGTCCTAGTATACTGAGGAATCTCCAGACTGATTTCCACAGTGATTTCACCAGTCTGCACTCCCACCAACAGTGGAGAAGGGTTCCTTTTCTCCCACAACCCCTCCAGCATTTGTTATTGGTTGATTTCTTGATGATAGCCATTCTTTCTGGGGTGAGATAGAATCTCAGTGTTGTTTTAGTTTGCATTTCTCAAATGACTAATGATGATGAACATTTTTTCATATATATTTATTTGCCATTCATATTTCTTTATCTGAGAAGTGTGTATTCATCTGAGATGCCCATTTTTGGATTGGGCCTTTGAATTTTGGGGGCCTGATATTTTAAATTCTTTTTATGTTCTGAATAGTAGTCCTTTGTCCGAGGGACAGTTGGCTAAAATTTTTTCGCCATTCGTGGGTATTCTTTTTAGTCTGTTGGTGATTTCTTTTGATGTGCAAAAACTTTTCATTAAGATGAGATCCTAGTTGTTGATTTTGAAGTATTTCTCATGCAGTTTAGTGTCTGTTTATGAACTCTCTGCCTATCCCTATGTCTCCAAGATTTCCACCTCCTTTCTCTTCCAATAGATTTGGTGTTTGTATTTTAATATTAGATCTTTGATCCATTTTGACATTAGTTTAGTGCATGGTGATAGACATGGGTCTAGCTTTAGCCTTCGGCATGTGAAAAGCAAGTTTTTCCAGCACCATTTATTAAAGATGCTATCTTTCTTCCAGTGAACATGTTTGGCTCCTTTGTCAAAGATAAGGTAGCTGAGTGTGTTTGTGGTTGTGGCTGCATCTTCTAGTCTGTTCCATTGATCCTCAGGTCTATTTTTTCACCAATACCATGCTGATTTTATCACAGTAGGTTTGTAGTATAATTTCAAGTCAGGGATTGTGATGCCTCCTGCCTTTCTTTTGTTGCCCAGAATTGCTTTCGCTATTCTGGGTCTCTTCTGGTTCCAGATGAATTTTAGGAATGTTTTCTCTAGATCTCCACAGGGTTGGTTTTTTTTTTTTTTTTTTTTTTTTTTTACAATCATTGCCATCATCTATCTTCAGAACATTTTTTATCATCTCATACTGAAACTTTGTTCCCATTGAACAACAGCTCCCCATTACCTAGTCCCTAGTTCTAGCTACTAGGACTGGCACTTCAATGATTATGAATGCAGATAACCCAGGCAGATTCCTGGGCTCAAATCCTACACCACTCAGGCAATTTTTGTCTGCTTTCCGTGCCTCTACTTTCCCCATCTGTGAAAGGGGGAAAGTGGTAGAATTTGTGAGAGGAAGAAGGCTGTCATCAGAGAGTGATCCTTGTAAGGAAACCTGTGCAGGCAAAGCTGGGACAGCTTTAGGATGCATAGGATACAGGTCAAGCTCTGAGCTAAGAACTTGTAGTCATGGTTTACAAAGGAAAAGGTTTAATATAGGACACAATTTATATGATTATTTCATAGTAATCACCCAAAGAGTCAAATGCAGAAGGGTGTGGGAGATCTGTTCACACACTAGAGACCAAAGAACCCAGCTGAGGGCCTGGATCCCATGGCAATGTCCGGCATGAGTCCAGCTGAAGACCTAGAACCTATGGCAATGCCCTCCATGAGTCCAGATGGAGGCCTAGAGCTCACAACATCTCATGCAAGTCTGTATCAAGGCTCTGCGCTGGGAAGGCCCCAAGGTCAGTGGTGGAAGCTAGAAAGTCTGCGCCAGCAGGATGAAGGGTCTGTGTTAGCAGGATGAGGGAGCTGCACTGGGGCCAGGAAGCGACACTGAAAGTACGGACCAGAGCTCCCCCAAAAGAGAACCGCAACCATCCACAGTGACAGTGTGGACCCGTGCTCCTCTGATGGTAGCAGTGGAGTTCATATCAGGAAAACCAATGTGACAAGCTTCTCCGGGAAAATCACCAGCACACCATCTTCCCCTCCAGTTCTGCTTTTATGCTGCTGGCAACAATCCTCAGATGGGCCTCCCACACCCAGCACCATGCTGATTCAGTTCAGCTGATGTCACAAGTTGACCATTAGTTAATCCACCACACACTTCTCTGATTTAGAGTGGAACGTGAGATTTGAAGCCAGTAAAACCAGAGTTTTCATTATTAATGAATGTGAACAAGTTTAGGTAGAGAAGTGCAGGGGAACTAACATAGGCCATTGTTATTATAGCATTGCAAGGGAAAGTTAATTCACACCAGCAAACAATTATTTCCAGCTGCGAGGAGGCTGCTGTTTACACATCACCAGTGCACTAATTGCAGAGGACTCTGCTCTTCCTCAAAGCAGTCTAGCTGGGCCGTTTGTGAGCTTTGGTGGGCGAACCTTTTTCATCGGTTGGTAGAGCACTTTTCTTTATAAAAACATTCTGTGATTCAGACTTTTCATGTTACCTCGATGCTAACCAGCCATATGATGATCGTGCCAGGCGCGTGCCTGGCCTGGGGGACAGAAATGGCCTGCTCAGGGCGCCCCCCGGTGGGCAGGGGCAGGTGTGGGGAGAGGCAGGCAGGGTGAAGGGAGAGCTTTGGGAAGGGAGGAGCCTGGGCTGAGGCTTCTTAGGAGAAAGGGAGGGTTGACTTTGGATGAGGGGTTTGGCTTGGTTGGGGCCTGCTGTCTTACACTCCTTTATCTATCCTCCTCATTCAAGTCTCTCTGGCCTTCTTTTCTTACTCTCATTCGCCCTTCCCACGGTGCTCAAATCAGAGTTAAGGGACCCTCCTCTGCAGGCAGTGTCCTCCCTGTGGTGCATGCTGGCCCTGTGCACTGCGGCAAGGTGGGCTGTTGTCCCTCTTCCAGTTCTGAGGGTGCGATGCCAGGCAGGCTTGTAGAGCAGTAGTCCTCAAACCTGGCTGTACGTTAGCATTACCTTGGAAGTTAGAAAACACCAATAAATCCAACTTGTTCCTCAGTCCCGTGCCAGAATTAAATCAGCAAGGCAGAGAATCATGGCAGTAGAGTTTTCTAAACATCATTCCCTTCGCTCCAAGGGACTCATAATGCCAGTATGCCTTACATGGCTGTTGGAAGCTTCTGTTTTATTGTTTTTCTCTCATTGATAAACACAGCTAATTACTTAAATCAGCCAACTTTCATTGAGTATCTACTTTATACCAAGCCCAGAGCCATAATCTGGGGGTCCAAAGATGGATGACATAAATTCCTGCCCTCAACGACATCTGAGCTGGAGCAAGAGACCTCCTGAAGTGAATGGTGCTCTGAGATGACCAGGGCCCTCTGAGAGGAGGAACACAGAGTGGCTGTGGAGGGCTTATCTGGGGTGGGAGGGTGTTTCCTAGAAAGATGGCATCAAGGGTGGACCTGAAAGATAGCAGAACTTCATGGGGAGAAGGAGCAGCAAGGGCAAAGGACAGACGTGGAAAGATGGGCTGTGGATCTGCCACTTGGTGTCTTGCACTGGGATAAGAGCATTTGGCATTCAGGAATTGTTCCTAACCCTATGGCAAGAATAGTTTGATCTCTTATTTACGAATCAGGAAACTGAGACATAAAGAGGTTGGGCAACCTACCTAAGGTCACAGGCAGTGGAAGAGTTTAGATCAAAACCAAGTCGCAGCTGGTCCCAAAGCAAAAACTAGCAAAGGGGGTGGGGGAAGGGTAGGGATGTGTGTGACCTGAGTAATGGCCGTAGCATGGCCCCGTATTTATAGACTCTGTATATGGCACTGCATGATTTCTAAAACACACTTCTCTTTGTGCCCAACAAGTCCTGGCTGGGCTGACCTTCACCTCCAGCCCTCCAAAGCCAGATGGTAAGGAAGTCAGCCAGAGGCTCGGGGCCAGGGGCAGGACAGTGGGATTTCTGATCACTGACCTTGGAGCTCCCATGCCCGGCTGTGAGGTGTGCAGGCTTTGAGGGGAGATGTGTTCTGCTGTGACTGCCTACAACGCAGACGGCATCATTTGGTGACCTCATGGATTCCTGCAGTGGAAAGTTGGGAAATGCCATTAATTTGGAGCAACACAGATGTTCATTTGGTGCCAGCATTGGGACCTCGCTAATAGCTGAGGGTCCTCATTTTCACTGAGCTTCTCCATGATTGTAATGCTTTTATAATCTTTTATAAAATGACATTCCTATGGAAAAGCTAAGAGATAGCACTGTTACTCATATATTATTTTTTGAGATAAGGTCTTCCTATGTTGCCTAGGCTGGTCCCAAACTCCTGGGCTCAAGCCATCTTTCCATCTCAGCTTCCTCAGTAGCTGGGACTATAGGTACACACCACTGGGCCCAGTTTTTAAAGGGGTTACTTTTGAAAAGCAAGAGCTCTGGGTTTTGGGGATCCAGTTGCCCAGTTAGGACAATACATGATTGCTTGTAAGGGCAGTAGGATAGTAGGGGAATCCCAAAATATGCAGGGCCAAACTGCATCCTAGAGCTCAGCAGGAGGCCATTTATAATTCCCAAGGCCAGTTTCAAGGGACAAGGACCACTTGGTTTTATAATTGAGCTCAAGTGGAAGGCTCTCATCACACACTTACAATGACAAAAGTGAAGATTTGTTTAAAATCCACATCTCTGGAAATCCTCTATTGCAGAGACAAATGAACTAATTTGAGGAACAGGCCCAGTCTGTGTTAAACACAAAGAGGATGAGAGAATTAATTAAAGAGGACGGGCAGGATTGATCTCAGTGTCTGAAGCCTTGGAGCGTGGTTTGACACATCCCTGACAGCCTCCGGTGTTGTGCTGGGTTGTGCTTCAGATGCGTCCTCTCTGCACAAGGCAATGAAGAAATTAGACAAGCAGCCATCATAGGAGGCACCAGGGTACTGTATTCAAGGCTGGTGTATGTGGCACCTGAGGACAGCTAGAAAAAGGAGCCCCTTCTGGAAGGAAACAGCCCTAAGGGGGCCCGCCTGGCTGGCAGGGGTGGCTGGTCTCTCTTGCCCCTTTGTCTATTGGCCAGGTGCCTCTGTAAATCTGCACATGCGGGCCTAGAAGCCCTGTTTTCAGGGTAAGCCTGATGCGTTTGAGTTTGAGACCCTTCAGGAGGATAATGTGGAGCTGACCTACAAGCCGGGTAGACCTCAGTTTGAATCCTGGCTCTGTGTGTTGCTGGCCTTAATTCACCTATCTGTAAATTGGGAGTAATCAGAACTTACCTTACTATGTAGCTTTGAGGATCAGTGAGGCTTATCCCAGGGCCTGTCGCTCAGGTAGTGCTCGGAAAAGGTAGTGTTAGGAGGCTGTCCCTGCCTTGGAGGAGGTCACAGACAAGCTGTTTATAGTAATAGATGCATGGTGAGGCCAAATGGTCAGAAGCGGAGACAACTGCCACTGAAAGAGAACTTGTGGGGCTGGGAATTTAGCTCAGTGGCACAGCGCCTGCCTGGCAAGCGCGAGGTTGTGAGTTCGATTCCTGGTACCGGAAAAACAAACAAAAATAAAAAAAAAAAAAGAGAGAGAGAGAGAGAACTTGCCACTCTCTGCTCCCAGGTTGCATCATGCCGCACGCAGCAGCTCCAGCATCTGTCAGAGGAAGGTCAAGAGCCTTTGCTGTGATTTCCATAGGAAGAAAGAGTTGAGGTGGGGACACAGTCTCAGGGCTGCCATCAATCATTTTGGGGGACTCTGGGCCTTAGGAACTCTCTGGAATTCCTGGCACATGGTGCTTGTGATTATGGCAGAGAATGTTGGCCTGGGGTGTGAGAACTCTGTGAGAGCCCAACCAAGGAAGGCTTTGGACTGGTGGCTTTGTTATGAAAGGTTTGTTGCCAGGGAGCAATCTGGCATCTCTAGAAATTTGCTGGCCTTGGGAGGGATGGTCTCTCCTCAGTCTGAGAGTCCTCAGATGTGAGAGTATTAAGATAACAGAATAAGAAATATGGTTAATACAAATGAAGAAGGCAGCAAGGTGAGCAGGTAATTTGTGAACGCCATGGTTCCAGCTCCATTCCAGCGGCGGGCACTGAGCAACGAGGAAGGCTCCCAGGAGGCAGCTGTGCCGTGGGCCAGATGGAGCGGGAAGCACTTGGCCAGCACTTGGCCCAGAGCTGTGAGCAGACTGGGCTTGATAGGCCACACTCACGTGTGACTGAAGTGTCGGGGCAAGAGGAGGTGCGGTGTGATATCGGGGACAAATCTGCAGAGACCAGTTGGGGTCTATTCTAGCCTTGGACGTTCCGATAAGGATCCTGGAGTCGATGCTGGAGGAAAGTGAGAGTGTGTACATGTGCATACAAGAGAAAAAAGTGCATGTGTGTGAATAAGTGAAAGAGGGCATATGTGTATGCATGCGAGTGTGAGTGTGCATGTGTGAGTGGATGCATGAATGTGAGAAGAGAGTGCATGTGTGTATGTGAGTGTGTGTGAGTGTATACGTGAGTGTTTATGTGTCTGCATGTATGTGTGAGTGTGAATGTGTTGAGATGCAATATCCTGAGCAGCTAAGTATCCTGGTTCAAATTCAGCTTTCAGCAGGTTCATTTGGTGGTAGGTGCAGTCCTAGAGCTGTGGTTCTCTATCTTGGTGGCATAGATGACTCACATTAGGGGCCCTGAGGAGCTCACTAGAAACACTGATGCCCAGGCTCCTCCGCAGTCCACTGACGTCAGGATGTGCAGAGATAGGGCACTGGACATACTGTGTAAAGTTCCATGAGCAACTGTAATACCTGATTGAGGTAGGAGACTGGTGAGGAGGTTGATACAATGGTTTAAAAGAGTGATTTTAAACTGAAGATTACAAACTGTCAACAGGTTGTGACATTTATGAGCTAGGGCCATCACTTTAACAACAAATAAACCACATTAGAATAAAACTCAGGATAGATCACGTATATTAAGTTTTGTTAAGTGACGCTTTGGTTTACACAAGCGCGTGTGCTGGGTAGACGTATACAGCATTTTTCACACCTGTGAAAAGTAGGTTTTAGGCAGACATTTGAAGGCCACTTCCCCGAAAGGGAGAAGGCACACTCATTCCTACCCAGGGTCCTGCTTAAACACTAATTACGTGTCTGGATAGGAGCCAAGAGATAGTGGGACTTGGTGGCCGCCAGCCCATCACAGTCTTCCCCCAGACTGGTCTGTAAGAAGCCATGGACCCAAGGACTGAGTATCCTAAGAGACCTTGAGAAGTGACCCAGGGCTGAGACTGGCAACATCAGCTGGGGATCATTTGGCATCATTGCTTTTGTGATAGGTCCCAGGTATGGAACCAGGCAAAGCGTATTAGTATTCTACTCTGCTATAACAAGCCACCCCAAATTTAGTGGTTTATAAGAATACACATTAAAAAAAGAATACACGTTTATTCTCTTGTTCTCCTCTAGACCCAGAAGTCTAAAATAGGACTTATTTGTCTAAAATCAAGATGTTGGCAGAGCTGAGTTTCCTTTGGCGGGTCTTTGGGGAGAATCCATTTGTTTTTTTTCCATATATCTTCCCTGGCTTGTGGCCCCTTCCTTCATCTTTAAGCCAGCAGTGTAGCAAAGACTGTATCCTCAGCATGTAGCACATTTCTTACCATACCAGTCTTTGGCAAACACTAGTTTTGAGCAAATATATCCTGACCTTTCTGTCTTATGGATAAGATCACAGATACCTAGAAAATTGAGCAGCTTGTCAAGATTATGCTGACCTAGTGGCAGAGCTGAATTCAGAACCTGGCCATCTGGGTGTCCAGTTCTACACCTGAATAGATGACGACCCACATTCTTAGAACCTAAGAAACCCTATTCTATGCCCCTGGATGATGATAGCATTTCTGTCAACCTTGTTGGTGGAGGTTGTTTAGAAGAATAGGATTTATCCCTATACAGTACAAGAAAAAGTCTGGGTTATGCAGTTGGTAAGACTTCAGTTTAAATCTTGGTTTTTACCTTGTATCGGTTAGCTATAGCTGTTTAACAAAGCATCTGTATTAATCAGGGCTGTGCAGAGAAACAGAGATAATAAGATATGTATAGATGTATGTGGAGATTAACTATGGGAATTAGAGACTAAGAAGTCCCACATGCCATCAACAAGCTGAAGCACCAGGAAAACTGGAGATATAATTCAGTTCCAGTCCAAAGGCCTCAGAACCAGGGAGCCACTGTTGTAAGTTCCAGAGTCTGACGGCCCAAGAACCAAGATTTCTGATGGCTAATGGCAAAAGATAGATGTCCCAGCTCCAGAAGAGAAAATGAATATTTTCTTTCTCTACTATTTTGTTCTCTTCAGGCCCCAAACAATTTGGATGATATCCATCCCCATTGGTAAGGATAATTCACTGATTTAAATACTGACCTCTTTTAGGAGCACCCTCACAGACACACCCAGAAATAACATTTTCCAGCTGTCTGGACATCCCTTAGCCCAGTCATACTGACACATAAAACTAACCATCACACTATGCCTAAACCTTGTAGCTTGAAACAACAATTTACAGTTTCTCATTAGTCTGCAGGTTGGCTGGAGGATTCTGTTGATCCAGGACAGGTTGGGCTGGCCATGGCTGGGCTTGCTCATGTGTCTGTGTCACTAGCGGGTCAGCTGGGGGCTGACTGATCTGGGACGGCCTGCGCTGAGACGAAGCACCTTTGCTCCATGTGGTCTCTTACTGCCGAGCAGGCAAGCCTGGACTTGTTCTTGCGGCAGTGGCAACGTTCTGAGGGACAGTAGAAGGGCATAAGCTTGGAACCGGCATATCTTCACTTTTGCTGCACTTTGCTGGCCACGGCCAGTCTGAGATTGATTTCAAATCATGGAGAAGTGTCTCCACCTCTACGGGAGTGTCTGCAAAGTCACATTACAAAGGGCATGGACACAGGCAAGGGTAGAAAACTGGGGCTGATTCTGAAATTTCTGTACCACATGACTGGTCAGGTGTTTAAATCCCACTAGCCCTTAGTTCCTTCATCTAAAAATGGGAAATAATAATACCTACCTTGTTAAAATTGAGTTAAAATTCGTAAGACTTGTAATGCCTGCCGTAGTGCTCAATGAAGATAGCAGTTGCAGGGCTCAATGAGGACAGCAGTTGTGATTATTGTTGTTGTTACTATTGCAATAATAATATTTTTATTATCATAGCTATTATAAGGATGGGCAGAAAATCATTTATTGATCTGTAGTCTGTTGCTGTAATGAAAACATGAGTCTGAGAAGTATTTAAGATAAGAGGCTTATTTAGCTCACGGTTTTGGAGGCTGAAAGTCCAAGATGAAGTGGTCCCGTTGGCCCGGGCTCTGGTGAGGACTTCTTTGATTGTGTCACATCATGGTGGACGACATCATAGTAAGAATATGTACCAGAAGGAGGGATCCTATGGTGAGACAGGATCCAGACAGGAATTTAGGGGCCAGGCTTGCTCTTTCATAACAATGCTCTTTCTTAAGAACAGTTCACTCATTCTGTAAGACTGATATCCATTGTTCCCAGGGGCAGTGCCCTCAGTGACCTAATTACTGTGCACTAAGTCTGACCTCCCAACCTCACCATGCTAAGGGCTGAGCTTTCATCCTATTGAGGAGCTTTGGCAGATGTACCCAAACCATCTCCAGATCATGGTGACCATGGTTCTGACTTGGGGAGGCAGAGGCTGCCATGGTGAACCTGACCTTGTTGGAAAA